ATCAAAATTACTTAATATTATTAATTAATCTTACTGATTAATAATTACAATAATGGCAAGGCCTAGTTGAGACTTACATAGAATGAACTAAAGTGCTATAATTTAAGCTTTATTTTTTTCTCTTCAATTTAATCCATTCATTCATTAGCTATAAATCGTTAGGCCACATTATTCTTTTTTTGATTGAAAATTATCACAAAAAATCCATTAATTCATTAATTAATTAACTTCGATAATTTTACTATATATTACTATATTTACAAAAAGAAGTGAGCTTACCAAATTGCTTACTGATTTCAAGTTGCATGTCTAAATATTTGATTGCTTGTTGATAATTTTTTTGTTGATAATATGCAAATGAAATAGCACCGAGCACTGACAGTCTTGAGCTCAATGATGCTACATTAGCTTCATTCATATCTAGTGCTAATTGAAGCAATGTAATTGCTTCAGTTATATAACCAGTGATCAAATATTCTTGACCAATTATGCTAATAATTAAGAATGCATTCAATTTCACTCCATTTATATCAGTTCCAATTTTGTTGAGTAATATTGATAAATGATCTGCAAAAAATAAAAAAAAAGTGAAAAGATTGGTTAATTGAAAATGAAAGAAAATGAAAAAAATATGGTATCTTATAAATTTGATATCGATAATAATTTCATTATTTTATTGGTTCAATTTGAAATATTCTAAATCAAGTTTGAAATATAATTAATTCGTTACATTCAGATTTATCCATTAACACGTATTATATTATTTACTATATTATTTGCATTTGTATTATCTGATATTATATTATTATTTGACATTATATTATTTGATATCATTTCATATTATATTATTTGTATTTGCATAAAGGTTAAATAAATATTAAAAAAGAAAATAATTGAAAAAGTTAAGGAGGAGAAGAAAATTGCGTACTTTTGATTGAGCTATAACATAATCCATCTTTTAATGTATCAATTGTTTCAATTTCATTTTCAATTGCCAAACTTTGGCAGTATGCAAAAATTGCTTTATCAAATTCTCCAATACCACGTAGAGCATTACCCTTCCGCAAATAACCCTAAATAAAGCGAACTAAAACAATTTTAAAAGATCATGCATTAAATGAGAAATAAGTACAGGTGCAATATTATATTAATACACTGATAAAATTTGATAAAATTTCCCACAATTATAACTATCTTCGCAAAATTTCACTTAAAATTTTTAAAAAATTCAAATTGAAGAATTGCAATTAAAAAAAAGCTAATGTAATGCAACAAATTCGTGCAATATAAATTTCTCTCAAAACAGTTAATTGCTTAACTGTTAATGAAACGTTGCTTGTATATTATTTTTAGTGAAATTATTGTTAAAATTTTCTAATGGAAGAAAAAAAAGAAAAAATAATAGCGAAAGTTAAAAAAAATGGAAAAATTATAATAAAACTATCAAAAAAAAGGTAATTATAGCTAACCTTTGCCCATTTAGGATTTAATGCTAACGCTTGCTGAGCATCAGCCAATGACTGGTGGAAATATCTAAGGCGGAAAAAAATAGCGGAACGATTGGAATATAGAATGAAATTAGTGGGATGTAATTGAATTGCTTCATTATAAAGTGTTAAAGCTTTTTCAAAATTTCCATCATAAAATGCTCGATTTGCGACATCAGATAAAGTTAACAGTTTATCACGTGACATCTTATGATAACATAATCATATCGAAAATATCTGACTTTTCATATTTTTCCTTTTTTTCTATGAATAATATTTCAGGCTGAAAAAAGAAGCGAGCAAATATATAAATAATTAATTTAGAGCAAACATTTAATTATCATAGTAAATTGTTGCAAAAATATAAAAATGTTGGATATCTTACAAAAACAAATAAATAAATGATTTAAACAAAACATTTGTAATTATCATGATTAACAAAATTGCAAGAACACAAAAACGTTGAATGCCATAGAAATCAAGAAGTTAAATAAATTCAAATAATTGGATGGGATGATGATATGCTCTAAAATATGATAAATATATTTGATGCAAAGTTTTCAACTAATACTTTAATAATTTTAATTATGAAATTAATTATCAATTTGTTGCATTTACGCTTAATTCATTTAAATAAAATGATTTCTTTTTTGCTTATAAATACATCCAATATATTTTGTAAATTTGATATTTGAAGAGATTTGAGAAGAGTTCAAAAAAGAATAGCTGAATTGCTAGCTTAGTTATGATAATTGAAATTTTTTTTTAAAAAATTCAGTTCATAATTTTCATAAAATTGAAGTTACTAATATTAAAGGAATGAATAAAATTGAGCAGTCCTCTGAACGAAATGATGGCATGGAATGAGTAGGAATTGGGTTGTAAAATGTGACAGTTATGAGGGTACTGAGATTTTGGCATCGTTGTCCTTGACAAAATTGCACCATCTAATCCTAATTTTAACAATTATTTCCTCGTCTCCCTCCTAATTTTCATCTTTTCCACTCTCTTTCTTTCATTTCTTCTTTTTCTTTTTTGAATATTTTTAATCAATTAATAAAATATATAATGCAGTTCATTTTCTTTCCCATTTCTTTCATTATCTGAAAGATAAAAGTTAATTAATTACAAATATTATTTTTAAGTTACAGTGTAAATTTGTTAATTAATGATATGTGTAGCTATAAATATAAAAAGGAATACATTAGATAATTATGTATTCTTAGATATATTCAATATACATTTCCCACTCATTTTAATTAATTAAAGTGATTTTTCTTAAATAAAAAAGTGCATATAACTTATTATTAAAATCTTTTTTTTTTAAATGAACGATTAATATTTTTTAAATACTTGTTAGTAATGCTATTATTCATCCATATGGCGCTTCTAACAAAAACTTTATTAACGTTTGCTATACAGATTTTTTTTAATATAATTTTAAGAACTTAAAAAGACTTCTTTCTTTCTCTTTTTCTATCTCTGTAATATTATTTTTAATTTTGCTAATTGCGGCATATTGCACTTAATTTTAAGATAATTACAAAATCAGATTTCTTTTTATTATATATTTTATTTCAACATTTATTTATGACAAATATTGCAACAAAAAAAACGTAAAAGAATTGCGTTCCATGTAACGTAAATTATTTTTGTGGTATTGAAATTCTATTTCGATGAAATATAAATCATAATATTATGTAATTAATTATTATACTTCAAAAAAAAAGAATAGAAAGGAGTGATTTACCAAAAGATGATATAATAATTGGAACAATGTTATTTTTAGATATTGAAAAGGAAAAAATTAGAAAAATATGCGGAAAAACATGAATAATTGTTAAAAGTATACCAGAATAAGAAATGAATAATAATTTAAATAATAATTCCCAAATAACAATTAAAAATAAAATTCGCTGTCTGTTATTATGTTAATTGAACCAAAATCAATTACAAATTGAAGAGGAAATTAGTTTAAAGCATCTTTTATATCTGAAATATGAAAAAGTGAAAATATGATTAGTAATTATCTGTTTTACAGTTTCTTGTAGTTTTATCATAAATTAAAAGTAATTTGAATAATCTGCGTAGTAAATATTTTTCAAATGCAATTTTTTTTTTACTTTATATTATTGGTTTCTTTTAAGATTGTTATAATTGAAACAGCAAAGGATAGTTTAAAATAATAAACAAAATAATCAAAGGCAGAAAGATTAGATGAATGTTGACTTTTTTTCTTTATTCCTCCACACTATTTTATTCCTTCTTCTCCGTAATACACGTTGCTATTTATATTCTCAACGCATCAAATACATTTCTTCGTTTTCTAAACAATAACTTGTCGAGAATAAGATATTGAAGCGGAAAGAATATATATGGCCTGCGTGGATAAAAGGAAGCGGAGATCATAACCGGGGTAATGGAAGCGGAGATGATACTTACTTACATTTGCATAGATCATAACCGAGATAACAGACGCAGAAGTGACAGTTACATTTGCAATGATTAAAATCAATCCATATGATCAAATGATCTATTCATACTAATATGTTAATTTTTCAAACTAACTGGTCACAAATAATAATTCAAAATTTTGCTTATTCGATCAAAGATAGGAGAAAGACGACGGATAAGAAATATGCAAAATCTATTGAAGAGAGACTATTATTGATGAATTGATGTTGTTGACAATTTTCAGCGTATGCATTTTGATTTGATGACTTCTCTGGTCATTTGTGACCATGACGGATGTCGTCGTTGATTAGAGCAGACAATTCATTTCCATTCACTATGTTCATTTATCAATCTTTTGATATTATTTCTCAAATATAGTTCATATTTCATCCGGCAACAACAATACTGCCAATTAGCAATGACGATATTGGTAATAATTATTATTATGATAATAATATTGTTAATGATGGTCGAAATTTATGATAATTTTGGCGTACTGCAAATTTTTACATAATCTAATAATTTCCAAATAAAATATTTTCCAACATTTCAGCTTCAACTTCACAATTTGATTGATAATATAATCTCATGTGTGCAAATATATTTATTCATTATCAACTTTCGTCGAAAATTTCCTATTTAAATTAAAACACTTTTTTTTTTTGTCCTTGAAAAAGAATTACTTCCATACAACTGCACAGTCCTTTTTTCCTTTTCGGGATGGAATTTTGTAAATCAATCATTCGAAGAGGAAAAAAAATTTTATTTTGTCAAAGAGCTGAAATAATTTCAAAGAAATATTTTATAGTCTTGTAAAATTAGAAGTAATTTATTAATAAAGAAAAAAAATTTTTCCCTTAAGAAATTTTGCCCGTATATATAAAGAAGTTATAATTAACAGCATTTTCTTCCTCTTTATCCATCCTTTTTATTTTTATTAAAAAATATGCTCAAACTTAAGCTGACTATAAATTCTATTTTTCAATTTCCAATTTTTATTAAAACTTATTAGTAATTTTTAAAATCATAATTAATTACAAACTAAATGAAGAAAAGATTTGGCTAATTTTTACATTGAAACAATTATTAATTCATTTCCGTTTAACATCTTAATTTAATAATAATATCAAACAAAATTAATTTTTATTTTTTGAAAAAAGTTAATTAAAATCATAATAAAAAAAAGCTTTTAAAAGACAGTTGGAAAAATTTTGTGTTTATCCTCTTTAACATAACTGAAATTTTCTATTACTTAAATAATTTATGCATTTTTTTGCACTGATAATATCTTTGTGATTCTTTTTCAGCCACTCCTCAATCGCTGTAAAATAATGAGTTTGAAATTGGCAAGTTGATTTGTCGTTCTATTATTCAATAAAATTTGCATAGTTGAAAATTACAAAAATTTTTTTTTTGATATTGTAAGAAAATAACCTATTAATGTTGTAATTGATATATTAATTTAATATTAAATCAATGCTAAAATTTTGAAACTTTTTTTTTAAAAAAAAAATTCTAATAAAATATGATGCTGATGCTTCTGTTAACATCTGCCATTTTCACTAAAGATATGCAATCATTCCATCATTCCTTTCATTATAACATAATACTTCCTTCAAATCATTGACAACATTTCTGACTTATCCGAATAAAAACAACAAAATAAAAACTATTGATCGAAAATGATAACACTTCCTATCATCCCAAATGTTTGACGATGTATTTGTCAAATTTCATCCTCATGTCGGCAGCATTATCATTATCATACCTCTGATGAATGCAATGTGACAAAAAATTAAGTAAAGTTTGCATAGGTTTTTTTACAAATTTAAAATTTGCATAGCTTTTTTAGAAATGTTCGAATGATATCGTGTAAAATTTTCAAATTTACTATCTTAGAAACTTTTATTTAATGTTTTTTTTTTCAACTTCTTTTTCAACAAAGTTCATTTTTTTAATTCTAAAACGGAACTGGAAATGAAATGATTAAGAATTTCCTAATAGACATACTTTTCTATAAATTTTCATTTCAGAGAGGTTATTCGCGTAAAATTTTTGAATTTATTTCCTTGAAAATTTTCATTTAGCAAAATTCATTGATTGAACTATCGTAAAATGGGAGTGGAAACGGTTATTACTGATTTAATGATTTTAGAAATTATTTCTAGAGGATATCTGTTCATAATTCTTGATTTGTTCGCCCATATTTGAATTGCTATCGAGTATGTTTATAATCAAATGTTAAATTTCATAATAAAAATCATCATTTAATTTTGAAAATTAAAAAGAAAAAGAATGGTGACAAAATCTGCGCTGTTTGACAAAAATGAAAATTATGTTCATTTGAA